CCCCAAAACCCCAAAACCCCAAAACCCCAAAACCCCAAACCTGGTTGGATAAATTGATATTTAAATGGGTATTTGTCATTATTAATACTATTACAGGTTTAAATTAAAGGTAATTTCGAGAACTTCATACCCTAGCTGGCTTGTTAACCTCGCTGTATAGATATACCATCAACCATGAAACTTGCACAATCTAGGAACGTCAATATGGATACCTGCTTTACTCTCAAGAGTAAGGTCGGCACTCCGGAGATCGACATCGGAAATATCAAGAGAGTTCTCTTGAAAAAGAAGAATACAGGAAATTTTATGAACGATCTTTTGAACAAACGTACTCAGACCACCCAGAAATCAAGATTAGGGAACCAGGAATTTAACTTGAAGGTGTTCGATCGGCTCGGTGATGAGAGCAAGAAGGTGGCTAGCCTTGACCAAACCTATGATCCCTACTCACAATCAGAAGAAGGTCAGAACTTCTTCGTCTCATTAGGTATACTTGGAGATAATTTAATAATTTAGGCCCTGTCTTTATTAAAAATGGAAAAAGAAATTCATCTTCTAGTACAACAAGGAGGAAGATAAGGACAGCAAGGAAGCTGAGACCATCCTCCAGAAGCCAAAGGAAGAGGTGAAGGTTCAGTGTTAGGAGAAACGGTGCTTCCAACAAGCTGGCAGTCAAAGGATCTTCTTTTGCTACGAAGAGAAATTCAGATGAAACACTCAGTAATGTATCTGATTTCTCATTGGATACGAGTAAGTTTTTAAATTTCTCATTGCTTACTTCTATAGGATATCTTCCCAAAAACACTTCAAGAAAGCTAGATTTAGATGAGGTGAGTATTAACTCTTTTCTGTAATCTTCTGTTGAGTGACTCTTGTGTAACTCAAGAAGACACATTTACCATATTTCTTACTAATTTCGATCCGAAGAACGTTCTTTGTGAGATAATATCTAATATATGACGTAGGACATATACGGAGCTCTAAGTGGCTTGAGCACTAATCATTCAACAGCGACCAATTTCTACAACCCAGATGAGAAATCTTCGACAAAAAGAGTCTCAATGTCTGCTCGGAGCGTTAAACGCCCTCGTGCGTCACTTTATCACCAGAAAAATGATCAAATCAGGAGAGCAAATACCGACGAGCCAGGGAAAAAGAAAATAGTCATACGGATCAATACCGACTGCGATCCACTAGAATTCTCTAAGAAGGTAAGCTCATCTCCATGAGCTCTTGAGAGGCAGCCCACTAATAATTAGTGACTTCCATTATGGATCATTTCAGCCTAATTTCTCTCAAACAGTTATTTATCATCATAACAGTTGGTTACTTTTTAGCCTAAAACTTCTTAAAAAATCATGTAATTGAGTCACACAAATTTAAACTCAATCTGATGACTTTCTGATGGCATCGCTAACACAACTTTTATAGAAGGGAAAGCCAAGAGGGGTAAAGAAGCTTAAGAAACTATTCGATTCAATGGCTTTAAGGAAGATCAAGAAGTACTAAGGCTCTCTCCTATTTCGGATAAGCCGGTGATAAAGAGATGACTTTTGAAAGTCGTGCTAATATGTAAAATATTAATAAATTCCCAAATAATTAGCTTGGAGAAGAGTCTCAAAAGGAGTCCCTCCTTTTGAGAGCCTTCTTTTCTACTAAAATCTGAGGAAATTCTTGAGAATTTTATTCATTTTAGGGCGGGAGATAGCCCCAAGATGGCTTTCTCCAGTTCCCAGATTGGGTCTGGAGGGCTAGATCTGACATTTCAATCCCTATTGGTAGTAAAGGGGTTTTGGGGTTTTGGGGTTTTGGGGTTTTGGGGTTTTGGGG